GGGTCTTACTGATTGGGATTGGCAAACATGGAGCGCGGGGGGAGGGGAAGGCGTTTTCGGCAGGCAGTGCGCTCTGGGTGCTGATGGCAGGATGGGGGGAGCAGAGCCCCACTGCTGAGCTCAGGCTGCGGGGGATGAAGTCAGGAAGGAAGATCCCCGGAGCAAAAAAAAAATGCAGGTCTGACATATAAATGTATATTTATGTATGGCTTGTGGAAAGGAGGGAGAGCAGCAGTGTAGGGGAGCAGGGCATGGCGTCTCCGAGCAGCGGTGACGTCTCAGCACTTGTGACTCTAATTGAATGTAATTGCCTCCTCCAAATTTTCCTAAAACCTTTTCAAAGTCCCCTGAAATTAGGGAACATCGATAACGCCACTCCTTGGGGTTTTCAGCTCGCGTCATCCCTAAGAAGCGCGATTAATTTTTTACAAGCTAATCATATCTCTTAGGCAGGTTGTCAGCCACGGATCTGTCATCTCTCATCAATAATGAAACAACCTGAGCAGCTCTTTCCCCCTCCAGCCTCCTGCATTATTCACTGCCAGGTCCTCAAACAACGGGGTGTGTGGTAGGAGGGGGGAGCCAGGGATTTAATTGATGTCCTTTGTAATTACTTGTAGGATGGTGGACGGGGATGGGGAGGCAGGGCTGGTAGGTGGTGGGTGGAGGAGAAGGGCAGGAGGTGAAGGCAGGGTCCAGCACGGCGTGGGAGGTTTTCTTTGGATCATTGCTTTGGTGGGATGGCATCTCTTTGTGTCCCTCGCCTTGGGGTGGGATTGGGAAAGCAGGCAACAACTCTGCCCAAAATGAGGAGAGGCTCCCACGTCCCCTCACCCAGCACTTTGGCTGCGCTGGTACCGAGAACGTCCCAGCCTATAGTCTGATCCATCACTGGGCAAGCATCCCTGGGGAAAGAGCTAGGCATCCCGAACACGGAGGGGTGCATTTGGGATGCAGGACCACTCAGCCCACTGGTCCTCTCCCAGCCGCTGGATGGGGAGGTCATGGCGCTCCCGAGATGGCACCAAGCAGAGCTGGATGATGGTGGCACCGCCGCTGTAATGCTCCTCATTTCCATGGTTCTCGGCTAAACCCGCCACATTTGCATTTAAATGGAGGTTTGGGTGTCTGTAAATCCCCATCTTTCAAAGCGAGACGACCTAATGGTTGTTTAATCATGTTGGGATGAGGCCCCCGGAGCATCTTCAATCCAGCGAGGAGGGCAAGAAGCATCCAAGCCGTGGGGTGTAACTCAAGTCATGCAGATTTCCCTAAAAAAATTAAGGTCCCCCCCAAAAAAATGCAGGTTCCCTTCTTGCCCAGGGACGTGCAACGGGCTGGAGCAGCGAGAACCCTCGGGCAGGGAGCAGGGGTTCGTGCAGCTGGTCCGAAGGGATCCGGATGCTCGGATGCTGGTGCTTTGGGATGAAAGCGGAGCCGCTGAGCCTCCTACATCCCAGCCAGCCCCAATCCGTCCCCGCATTGCTCCCAGCCCGAATTACAAACCCGTGTGCTTCTGCGTAAGGGAAGAAACTCCTGAGCCGCCGTTTGTTTGTTCGGCTCCTTTGAGGCTGGGAAATCGCTTGCAGCAAGGTTGGCAACGGAGCACGGTAGGGACTGAATCTGCTTAATAATAATTAATCATAATAGTAATAATAATGCTTAGCACTCGTACGGGGCTTTGGAAAGATGAAGCGCCGCACGGCTGCTGGCTAATCCTCTAGGATTAAGAGTTCCCGGAGGAAAAGGCAGGGGAGCGCCTCGTCCTCGGGCTCCTCTCCCCCTGCATCCGCACCCCAGGAATCCTGACCTGGGGCTGGATGCTCTCGGGGCACCACGGGGAGAGAAAGCTGCCAGGCGAACTGCTGACATCCCCCAGCACCAGGCAGGATTGGGGCAAAACCACCTGATTTTTGCAAAGAACCATCCTGCAGCAGGATTAATGCCATACCGGGATGTGCTCGGTGGCACGGGATACCATAGGAATGGCCAGGATCTGGCCAAGCTGCACCGTTATCCGTTTCCACGGTGACAAATAGCCAAGAGGGATGGAGAGGGTGGCATGGACCAAACATGGGTGCAGCACTTTAAACTCGGCTGGTGCCTCCGTGCCGGCGCTGCCCGACGGGACGTGTGCTGCCCACTCATGTGTGAGCACTGACATTTTGTGTCAGGAGCCGCCTGTCACTAGAGATTGTCCGTCCAGCCCGGGACAAGTGTTGTGCACGGCGCCCGTCTTCCAGCAAAGACGATTTGCCCCGACCAAGGTCCTGGATAAGGCCGGTGATCCGCAGCTTTCGGGCTCCCAGCGCCATCGTCCGTGTGCGTGCGGGCTGAGCAGGGCTCGTCCCCAACGTCCCTCATGCTGGGGACACGTGCGGTCTGTACCCCGCGTAGCTGAGACCCGGAGCAGCTCAGTGCAGTGGGAATGGTGTAAATGGATTTTTCCAGGGGAAATGTGGTCCTTGTGTCCAGACCCCCCCACAAAGACTTTGCAAAGCCTCTGGGTACCCCAAAAGGGTGCTGGGTACCCCAGCACAAGGCGAAACATTAAGCACAGCCTTCTACGGGGGAGATTTTCCTTTTTCCTTTTAATTAAATTGTCTGAGGAAGCCAAGACACAGACAGAAAGAGACCGAGACTGTAAATAGTATAGAAAAAAAAAAAAAGAGAGAGCAAGAGAACCGATTGACGGAGGTGTAAATGCCGGGTGGAGCCGTACAGAGGAGGAGGAGGAGGAGGAGGAGGAAGAGGAGGAAGAGGCAGGCAAAGCTTCACGTTAGCTCCAGGATCACTGTTAGGGTGAGCGCCAAAACCAGTCTGAAGCCGCAGTGGCCGGTAAGTGAACCTAGGCAGGAGGAGAGAAGGGATGGGGGGGTTTAGGGAGCCGTGTTGGGCTTAGAGCAGGTTGGGGTCACCACCTTTTCCTGGGGGGATGCCCCTCCTAAGCTTGCTATGGAGCTTGCGTGGGGTGGGCAGCAGGTCAGGGATGCTGCGGGGAGCATCCATGGGGCCCCTTTTGGTGCAAGGACATCCCTGCGGCCAAGGGCTTGGGGCCATGCAAGGAAAGATGCTCAAGGGCTTGGGGAGACGGTCTCTGCATGGTCCTTCCTTCCCTGGGGGGTTTCAGGTCAAAATACCAGTGCCACCACCACTCACCATTGGAGTCCTCTGTTCCTCTGGGAATATTTGGGTTTTCTAATGGGAAAGAAATAGCAGAGAGACAGTTTTACTGGGGGGGGGAAGATGAGTGAGGATTTGTGGAGGGAGGGGTGACTCCCGCGGTGCCACCATACCAAAAACGATGAGCCGGGTGTGGGTGTCGGTGGAGCCCAGGGGGTTCTGGGCAGTGCAGCGGTACATGGAGCCGTTGAGCTCGGCCGGCACCCGCTCCAGCACCAGCTCCTTGCCATCGTGCTCGGCGCTGCCGTCGAGGAGTCGGCTCCCCACCCGTGTCCAGGTGAAGAGGGGCTCAGGGAAGACTTCATTCTGTGGGGAGATGGGGGGCTGTGAGATGGGCGTAGGGGGTATGCAAACCCTGTCTCGTGCCTGGAGCAAGGACGGGGTACAGCCAAAATGCCCAGGGGTGCACCAACGTGGGGACCATGATGTAACCCAAGGCCACCAACCCAACTCCATAAAGTGCTGGCACAGATGCAAGGCTGTCCGTTGGCACAGCATCACCCCACGGCAATGGGCACAGATGGGGATGCTTACCTGGAAGCCCTGCACCAAGATCCGCACAGTGTCTCCGACGCGGGCTCTCGTCGGGGTCATCGTGATCTTCGGGCCCTTAGGAGCAACTGCAAGGGAAGAGGACAAGAAGGGACATCAGTTGAGCGAAGAGTTCCTGGTGCCGGTGGGTGCCCTTGGCTGGGGTTAACAATGGTTTGATGAACGACCGTGGTGAGGGGGTGGCACGGCACGTGCCATCTGGGGGTGGGAGCTGATGGCTGGGTGATTGATGGACAGGCTGATGGATGTCCAAATGATTGACAGACAGGTAGGCAAGGACCCCACAGGCAGATGAACGGGAAGACTGATAGATGACTGTAATGGGATGCATTGATGGTGAAGGACATATTTCCTAATCAAGCCCCTCTCTGCTCAGAAACAGGGGTCAAGAGGGGTTGGGTTGGTTTGAGGCCATGGAGATGGGCACCTCAGAGAAGCAACCTCCAGGTGGCCTTGGTGAGTCATGCACAAGTGCTGTTAGCATGGGAGACAGCCACAAAGCCTTGCTGGCACAAAATGCCAAGCACAGCCCTGTGAAGAGGATGGAATCCCTTTTCCCGTACCAGACTTGGAGTGCCCTTGCCTGGTGCACTGGGGGGAGAAGCAGCGATGCAGCCAGCCATGGTGAGGTGACACCACACCAGAACTGCTCTTTGCTCCCAGATGGGTTGGGGTTGTGTGGATGTCCCTCCTGGGCAATGGGTGGGATGGGACAGCCCTGGGAGCTGCCTGGTCTTTGCATGGAAGGAGCGTATATACTATTTATATATATAGGAGGGGGTTAATGAGGGATCTGCTGTGACGGTGCCAAAAAACTGTGTGTGGGTGGTGGTGGTGGGGCACCCAGTGAGGTACATAGACTGGAGGCATTTTAGAAGATGAGGAGGGCTGTGGACTGGGGGAGGGGGGCAGTGTGGGGTGAGCTTTGCCATTACAGGTATTGGAGCTACTGGGGATGAAGCAGAAACCCATCAAAGACCTGGCCTCACGGGGAGCCCCAGAGAGTAGACACCTAGGCATGATGAGCTGCAGAAGGTGTGACGATGCAGGATTTAGGTTATTTTTTGGCCAGTTGTATGCTGGAAGAGAGCTTTAATGCTCGGTGGGGAGGAACAGATAATGGAGGGCCATCTATTAGCAAGAGAGCTGCCGCCCCCCTTGTTGACTGCCTACTTCCCATTGACCTCCTCATTGCCGCCAACCTCCCACTAATTGAGGTGGCTGATGAGCTGAAGGAAAATAGACGGAGCACCAGCATTGAGAGGCTTGTGCACACTGAAGCCTGTGCCAAGGATGGGTGGAAAGCCAACGAGGCGAAGCTCTCCAGGAGATGGTCCATCACTGCTGATACAGTGAGCCAAGTGCCCTACTTGGCCAGGAGTAAAACCCAGTCTTCTTCACCCAGCTCGAGGGCAGGAAGGCTAGAGCAGCCTGCCCAGGAGGGTGCTCCAATGCTGGGGCAACCCCAGTGGAGAGCTCAGCCTCTTCTGACAGGGAACCAGGAGAAGGTAGGGGAGCCCCAGCCTTACCTGGGGGCAAGTTGACCAGCCAAGGTGGGGCAGAAGTGAGAGGCTCCACTAACTACTCTGTTCACCAGCTCCCATGGTCACTTTGGGAGCCTCTACTTTTCTAGGGTCCTGGGCATGCTGGGAGCCAACAGGGTGGCTCAGGCCTCAATCCCACCACTCCATCGCAGCTGGGACCTCGCCAGCCCCACAGGCTGCCCCTGTGCAGAGGTCAGCCTGGCCCTTCCCCAGCAATCCCCACTGGGCTGAGTTGGGTGGTGATGGCCAAAACGGGTGGTGGGCAACAAGGGTCATGGCACGTCCTCAGCTCTCGTGGGACTGGAAATAGATGGATGGAGGTGATTTCACTATGGGGTGAAGGTGTCCCCTCACAACATGGTCCCAGTCCAGAGGAGCTCCTCCATCCCATCCCCTCCCAGAGTCACACCCCATAAGAGGTTA